CATCGTCTCCTGATGAAATCCTGGTACCATCGTCTCCTGATGTCGCAATCTCCAGCTTCAGTTTCGTCGAGCTCTGTCCAAAACCATGTCCTTCAACAGTTTGCAGACGGAGTGTTTGCCGTTCTCCACGAAGATCAAGTCGTGTCATCACATCCTCTGACATCAGGGATGTTTGAGAACCAGGGTCAAGTAAAGCACAGACTTTCATGGACTTGCCGTGACTGCCGATGATGGTGACCTGTACAACCTGCAGAAGAGTTGTTACAGCATCGCTTTTCAGTGAGGCTGCAGCCACCACACGACTTTCTTCAGGTTTTGGACACAAAACCTTACGGTGGGTCCGAAGGGTCACCCTTGTGTTTCAATGCAGCACATGGTGGTGTCTCATCTTGCAGTTATCGATACCACATAGCTTTGTGAAGTGGCAATTTCGAACACCATGTCCCTTTTTCAGGCCAAAAAAGCAGCAGCCAGAGCTGGCAATGAATCATCATCGACCGTCATCTGCACGACGGCAGGACACACGCTTACTCCATGCTACCCGTTGCAGCTTGCACAGATCCTGCCAGCGGCCATGGCCTCCGTGACCAGAGCAGTTCGCTCGACTGCCTTCTTCTCACTCTGGCACCGCTGCATGTGTCTCATGGGGTTCCTCTCAGCTCAGCATTAAGCTCTTCCAACTTTTCTAAAGCGTGATCAAGTTCAGAACTGAAGGAAATTACCTGCGGTCTACTACCTCTACTGTCGATCAGCACGGAAGCTCTTCTACGAGCTCTTGTCAGGACACTGAGCAGCCTACCACGTTTCTGTTTCAGCTCCGTAACCGACATTGTGGCCAGAAGACAAACAATAAGTAGAGTGCAGAAACAATGGAAGTAACGTAACAGTAATTCACTTCACCATCAAACTTCAACGTCCGAATTGCGTGCTTCAGGAACGTTTTGTTCAACACGGAAGCATGGAGACTAACTGAACCGCACTGCTGCACTGTGAACCCCTACCAAGGTCCTGTGACGGACTGTTGCTAGCAGGCTTACAAAACTGAAACAATCCAGCGAATCGAAAACCCTGAGAAACCGATTTGCACGACAGCATTGGCGGAAGCGACAATATCATGCGACCTGTGCCACAGAAACATAGAAAGCAGTGAAACAGCAGACTATGATCAAAAACCCTCACACTCGAGTCTTACACTCTCTCACATGCGGGTCTTAACCGTTTCGTTAATTTTGAACATGCATGTTTGCACTTTATGAGCTTTCATCATACCTTGGGTACATGTGTTGCATTGAATGTGAAAGGAAATGGCGAATTAACATGGTCCATGGGAGATAGTTATTGAGGGCAGAAATACAGGTGGACACAGGTAGCAAGTTTGAAACTGTCATCGACGGCGGAAAAAAAGACTTAAAGACATTTGTCTTTTCTCTTAAATACTTCTTTTTCTTTTTGTTTCTGAAACAAACACAACATTGTCATCCAGTGAAGTAAGCACGCTGGCATACGGAGCCAGAACACAGTAGATCTAGAAGTGACAGCAAAGTTATCGTTCCATATCACTTGTAAACACATGGAATACTAAATTATGACAATGTATCTTGACCTAAGTAAATGCACACATAAGATGATACATTAACTAAATACAGCTCTCTTACCAAAGCTGTTCCTACTATCGTCGTTACCGAAACAGGCGGCTTCCAGCGACGCATTTCAAACCTCGCGCCACTCGCCACGTCATCTGACCCCGGAGCAAAAGGGTTCGCTTAACTACACTAACGGCCGCACAGCGAGGCAGTGCCACCTGCCTGTAGTCCTCGTCGCTGCACCATCTATCGTCCCTGCTCGGATGTCATCTACGGAGCACGCAGACGCAACCCTTGTGCACGCAACAAACAGGGTGATAACTCCGCAACCATAGCACATGTGTCAATAAGAAACGGCACTAAGTAGGCAATGCAATGATGCTGTACGTGGGACATGAAAAGGAAAGTTGAATTAAAGGTACATTCATTGAATAACTATGATGATGTCTAGGATATTTGATTTGTTCGACCGCAGCAACGTAATTCGTTCCTAAGTTGACGTCTCTTTCGAACCATCAGAACCTGCAATGTTCCAAATCAACCTTCAATTCTACACCGAACACCACCAAAAGAAAGCGGAACTTTCTATAATTAATGAGGTATATAAAATAATACATCACAATATACAAATTAATAATGTATTTTATTATATGTAATATATAATAAGTAATATATAATAATAATATGAATAAGTAATATAAAATATATGAATTAATTGATATATATCAAATATAAAATAAAACGCGCACAGGACGGACGTGATTACACTCGGACGGGCCGGCGAGGCGCGGCGCCCTCGGCCGGCCGAACAGCGATCTAGCCTGCCCCCTGTATGCCGGCTGGCTCAGCTCACGCTATCAGTACCAGTGCACGCTAACACGCTACCACCTTCTTGCTACCAGTAATTGTCTGCCCCTCCCGCGCTGGTCCAGAGAGGTGATTCCAGCATCTGGTGTGATTGAAAGATGATGGTGTCGCGGCTATCAGCTTGCTCTCTCACATTCAATGGCGTCGGTCGTCCCAACTGTGGTTCAGTTCGAGGCATGAGCTTTGTCCGGATGGACGGTCTAACGTGAACAGCGATTATGAAGTGCTCGTACAATTTAAAAGACGGGGTTTGTGTTGAGCCGTTTTACCTGGAGCACAAAGCGCCAATTAGGGAATGAAACCTGTGACTACTGTGTCCGATGTTGACCACCGTTCGCGTCTGGGACCTATATTAATTCGCTCCAGAAGCATACAACGGCAAACAATGATCCTTCTTGCTCAAGTAAAGTGCGCACCCTGTGTGCACCATTGCGCACCCTCCTGGCGACAGGCTACAGCCCGTGTTTGGTCGATTTAATCCTCGGACTAAACGGGTTAACACAAACGATGCCTGTTTCTAAAATCTGTACTATCCAGGCGAAGCCCACTCCGCTCACTGAACCGCAGCTGAGACGACTCATCGGGTACGAGGGAGACGGCTGATGACAGCGACGCAGTCATCTCTCGAACAATGACTGCTGCCGTCTGAGTCGTCTTTCTATAACAGCACGGGAAAGGGGCCGACTGCTGCTGGCTCCACCAGTGCGGGAAGGGCTGGCCGGCAGGTGGCCGGGTACCGCGCGAGGCCCGCCGGCCGGGAGCGCCGCACCGCACCGTCCGGTTGTAGCCGCAGTCGCGCTGCGCACGCGAATAGCGGGTCCTCATTTTTCTGTTCATTTTTTCCGATGTTTAATGAGATGGCAATTTCAAAAGTCTAGGGCTCTAGCGAATCGAAAATGTCATTAAAATTGGAAATTGAATTGTTTGTGGCGGAAAATCCTTCTTATCCAATGATCGTGCTACTAATCTAACATTCTAGTCTCGCCACCCAGAGCGTGGTAATATCTAAAAAATGTCGTTTTTATTGAAAAATATGCTATGGCTGCTGAGCTATCATCACTTTAATATGCCATTTCCGTCATCACCTCATTTTCTGATGCCACCAATGAGGGTCAACGTTTAGGCGCAAAAGTACTGAAAGCTTCAGAATCATGATGAAATGCGTTATAATCATAAAATCACGATCAAAACCAAGTTTCGTTTAGTTCTAAGATCGAATACGTAAAATTACACGTTAGAGGTTGAGTTGACGTGTAATGACCCGATTCCTTCACTTTGTTTTTAAGAGAGACCTCTAGAACCCTTCGCGGGCTAGATAAGCTCAAGTGCGCGCACTATGCATATATGATAGCTAATGACCTTGATCACCTGCGTAAGTTTTGTGGCATGTATATGGAACCGAAAGTCTCATGTGTTTCTTAGAATTGGAACCCCCAAAAATGATGAACTAAAGGGATAATGGGAGGGTAGCTTTCATTCGCAATGGGCACTTGCCGGGCGCACCTAGGACCCCCACGGGTGCTGGTGGGATGGGTGAAGAGGATTCCACTCCTGCAGGCACCAGGGACCACTGGGCTCTTACCAATACAACGTGGCTTCCATGGAACTTGCCGACACGACACCCAGCGCAGCACCAACATTAATTCATTCTCGGGGCGTAAGGCCTGACTCCGTTGCTATTTCATTTGCCAATGGGTGCTACGGTGTGCGCAGACGCTGCCCTGCGCTGACGTGCTCGGAGTCTATCATCGCGCCGGTCACGAGCTCTTTGAAGGTGACCGCGGGGCGTGTGCAGTGCGAATGCGCCTTCATTTTCTCATTACCGTTCGTCAGGGTTACTGACTTAGATACATTCATTGCGGCCTTGGCCACTATTGAAGGCCAACTGTGCTGGTAGCTGTGATGTGTTAATCTGTGGTCACAGGCTGGCTTCAGGATTTTGAATATCTAACTCATTGGTAAATAAACTGTTCCAAATGAAACTGAAAGTAAAACCAAGCATCTTATCGGGCTAACATTATATTTAACTTCAAGGACCGATGGCTGGCGGATGTTATGGCGTAAGCCGCTGGACAGCCATGGCAATGGACCCGCATATGGGATTCCGCTACGTGCGATCGCACAGTCGCGCGGGACGCATGACTCGTTCGCTCATGTCGTTCGCCCATGTCATGTCGTTCGCCCATGCCGCTCTACCGCACCGAACGCCCAACAATTCCGCGCCTTACTGGTGTGGCCGACAGGGAGCTTCGGTAAGCCTGGTGCGAGAATTGGGTGCCCTTGTGTACGAACTTCACAGCTATGCTGTCCCCCCCCCCCTTCTTCTATCACCCCAATCGGCAGGCGCACCGGAGTCACGACCTCTCTACCCCTATTCCCCGGGCCAACCCCCCGGACTGCGACGGTGTCATCAGGCGGCGTGACGTCACGATCACGTGACGGCGGCCAGACCGACGCCACCTGTCCGTTCTCCTTCCCAGGAGCGGTGCCGACGGGAGGCGTCGCCGACGCCGGGTGTCCGCGATCAGTCGGCCCTGCGTCTGCCTGAAGTCAGCACACAGCGACCCGCCGACGCAGGTGTGGGTCGATTTGGGCGCCGAAATCGCAGGTTACGCCGCGCCGCGCGGTTGTCGTCGTTACGACCCCACTGCAGGTACGACAGTGTGCCGTGCTGGTGACGTCACGGGCGGTAACGATCGGCGTGCCGCGAGGAATGTTGTGAAAACAGGTCAGCGCCCACCGCTTTGTTACAGGCGGCCGCCGGCGCAATGGGCCGCGGCTTATCAGTGGACTTGTAGGTTGTTTTCGACGAGGACACTGTCCCGCTATGGGCGTACTGCAGGCTCGATGGCGTTGAAACGACATTCGTTAAACTGTGAAACGGGTTTCCCAGGAGAGTCTCTTCGCGTGTTTTGGAAGGTTTCAAGTGCCCGCTGCAGTGAAATTAGAGCGGAAACTAAATGTTTCAATAGTGGCACATTACAACAGGGGGCCACATTTCTGGAGCAATAGGCCTTTCATGCATGCGATGGCTACGGTTACAGATCATGTTGCCTTGCGTTGGCATACAAAGGCCCCTTGGCTGAATTTGGAAGCGTCCTTCGTAAATCGGAAGCATCCTGCTTTGGATTAGGAGGACCCTCTATGCATCGGGAGACCCCTTTTTGGAACAGGGGCCCTGTTTTAGGGTAGCGAAGCCCTTTCTGCATAATCAGAAAGCGCCATTCTGGATCTTTTAACCAGTATTTATTTACGTGGATGTTAGGCATGCAGCAGTTTGATGAGGGGACACATGCCGTCGGTTGCCCCCCCCCCTCTCCCTCTCCTCTTAAAAACAGCACTGTGCAGGAGCATCTCCCCTGCAAGGAGGCTCCCAGGACCCCCCCCCCCCCCAAGCTCGCAATCCGTGGCGCCGTCCCTGGACAGGTAGATCCACGCAGCAGACCAGTCGGCTGGTCAATGAGCAAGGCGTCCGGAGTACACTCAGAGAATGTACGAAAGAGAACGTTCCATATTTGAAGATATTGAGCCCATTTATACCACCTTGGAGATATTGAGCTCACCTAGAATCATTGATATAGTTATAAGTGGAGTGAACTGCTCTAGACAACAAAATTTCCTATTCACTTTTTGCTTTTGCTAATACAAATTTTCGTATTCTATTTCTCTAAATAAATTCGGTTAATTTCCAATTAGGAGATATATTTCAAGGGTCAAGGTGGTGCACATGTCTGAACCAGCGCAACCCTGCATCATTTGCATTATTCTAAAACAATGCAGCAGTATCCCCGGGGGTTTAGAATTTGGGCCCTTTTTATGCACATCTCACGAGGTTTCCAGTTCAATTTCACGTGTCTGGTGTTTTCCGAGCGTCTGCAAAGCCGTGCTATTGCCATGGAGAGGACTAATTGCGTATATCAAGCACGGGTTTCCTTAAGTATGACCACCTAAAAATACACCAGGCACGTAGGCATTAAGTCACCAGCAGGTTCCATCGGTCAATCAGATCCGTTAAATCATTGCCGGCTCTTCAGCTGGGAAATGATCGAGCACAGGGGCGCAGTTTTGCAAAATGAGTTGGGAACAGGTACTGAACAGCGAAAAACTACTCAAGCTATCACGAACATGTACACCAAAGGCGGGTTCCTGTCCGCGTATGGGCCTCTCTCTTCTCGTTGTTGTGGGAGCTGGAACCCAACTTGGGATGGAAGGAGTGGGTCTGAATAGGGTCTTGTGAGATAACTTCTCCGAAGGTCTATCAGACCAAGTTCGTATCGTTAAAAGATTAGGCTGGGGCATATCTTTTTCCTTGCATTTTCCAGATTATCCTCTGCACAGATCAACGGCTACAGCACTACAACACGGGAAATATAGATTTTACCGTTACTCCTCCAGCTCCATCATCGGATTCCAGCACCGCCTCGCGGTGCCGTAATGATGGCGTAATGCCGTAATGCCGTAAATTATTATCAATCTTAGAACCGTACAGGTACAGCTCGAGGTACAGGTACAGACGAAAAGTACGATCGGACCTCCGTCTAAATGCATGAACTGATGTCCTAAAGGGCTTAAAGACACTTATTTCAGATGCGTCATCATTGTCGTTCGCCCATGGCCACCGCTGCTAGCCGCGGGGTCGGGGCGGGGCTGACGCCGCGCGGCCTATGAGGGCTGCAGCGCCGGGTGTGGGGCGTCTTCGTTGCTAAGGTTTGCAAGCGCGCATGTTAATTTTTATCAAGTGTCGATTCTGACTGAACGTTGAACATTTTCAAACGAGCATGGAGATTGGCCATGCTACTTCCAATTGTTGGGGTCTGGAAACTCCCCGGGGGGCATTCGTCAGCCATTTACCCCCCCCCCCCCGCCCCTTCAACGGGCGTTAAACCTCTGACTGCGTCCTTGCAGTATATGTAAACAGAGCATTTATCTGAGGTAGAACGTCACATTGCCAACTGCCCCAAAAGCTTGAGAAGAGCAAGGCACAGATCTGGAGAGGATCCTGTTTGTTGATGGTTTCGGGATAGGTTGGGCGATTTTACGCTGTTCTGTACTTCCTCCCAACGCATTTTGCAAAGCTACACCCTTGTGCTCGGTCATTTCCCAGTTTAAGAGCCGCTGATGATTTTACGGATATTTTTGGTCGATCGGAAGTGTCGATGACTTCGTGTCCGTGCGTAGTCCGAAATCTACCGGTAATGCGGTAGGCAGTAGCTTTAGCTTGTTTGCACGACGCCCGTGGTGTATTTTCAGGTAGCCATGCTTATCAAAACCAACGTTTCAGCACGCACGGCCGAATATTGCGTCCATGTGGTCCGTCGTGTTTCGTCATGCGAATGCCCCTGCCCAATGGCCTCCAGCCAGTCGATAGTCAATTGGCCTCCTGATCCAATCATGACACGCTCACTGGAACGGCGCTCGGACAGTGCTCGTGTGCTCCAAGGATAGCTCTACGAAATTTATGGAGCTGAAAGGGGCTAAGGAGCTGCAACCATGGGGTTCAGATAGCGCAGTGTTCCACATTTGTACGGGGTTTTGAACTGAAATGGCCAGCTTGAAGATCATTGGGTGCAGTTCACAGCTCTGGCCTTGGTAAGACCTAAACCCTCCTAATTTCTGAGCTATACGTCCGCGAAGATGTGCAGACCTTTTCGGGTAGACTTTTTCAATGTTACACAGACATCCATGGTGTAATAATGACGCCATTCAAATCCTCCTATTCCAATAGCGGTTATGGGACGGTTAATGCTAAGAAAAGTATAATTGCCTTGTCGTTCATATCTGGCGCCAGTGAGAACGATTTCAGATAAAGCTGCCGTCAGTTTGCTCTAAATCAATGTTGTGAAGGTACGATGACACAATCAATAGCGTATTGAGGAGCGTATTTACTAAAGAGAAGTTGCATTGTCGAGGTCAGTTTTTTTTCTACTTGAAAGTATGCCAATAGTCACAGTTGACCTTATTTCGTCACATCTCATACCTGCCACAATATCTTCAAATGTCCCTTTTTCCATTTCCTTTAACCCTCGCCCTGATTCACCGTTTTTCATAACGCGAACTGTTGAGGGTGGGCTTTGATGCCACCCCTTCCCCCTGTTCTTTCCGTATTAATTAAGATTATTTGAAGAATGACTTCTCTGAAGTCATCAATCATGCATAATCACATATATACTTCAAATACGTTGAGATTTGAAGAAATAATGCATCAATCTGATATCAGGTAGTATGTCAGCTGGAAAAACTATTTGGCTGTGGTTGTTACGAATTTGAGACGCTTGCCATGGTTTGCTAACTATGAAAATGGGGTAATCAGCTTGCTCGGCCAGTTGGTTTCTAATATATTTACGGGGAAGGGTTCCGCCCTCAGTCTATGAAAGCTGACGAACATGTTAATAAATGTCGGATTAAAACGAAATAGTCGAATCGGATATTTGGGTTTTCTTTGGACAGCATCAATCCCATAATGACCCTATGTTATCGCACCGTGCTCGTGTCTCCGGCTGTACATCATGTCACATTGGTTGCATATCATACGTCCACGAATTTCTGCTGCCAAATGTTTCCGCGGGTTCAGAAATAACGTGAAACCACAACATATCCCGGACATGTCGGACGAATCCCCGGTCGAGCTCTCCCGCCAGCTTCTCTGTCTTAGGATACATCCTTCGAAATTATGAGTGTGGTCATGATTATCATAGTCATCGTAGTGACACTGAGCGAGCCAGCCGCGATAACAGCCTTCCAGTCGCACCTCCCGTGTGCTTCGCGTCTGCTGTAAATGGTATCCAGCTTAAAATAAGTTAAGTTTGAACGCTCATGCTGCCTTCCAACAGAGCCGTTTGCATTTGCTGCACCTCAAAATAGCAGTTCAAGCCGTTCGTAGTTAAAATCCCTCGTGCTGATAAGCTGACGTCAATGCTGATAACTTACTGGTGCGACTGCCATTGCACTAACCCAGCGGGCGCTAGCTCAACATGACGCCAATACTGACAGTCAAAAGGATGAAATCCCCCCCCCCCCCCCCACTCCTGTTTGCCGACGGTTAACCAGACTTTATTCACATCGCATATCTATTGGCCGAGCGTCTTTCAAGACAATTGCGTTGACCGCCATGCTGCTGAACCACAGACCACGCATAGCGCCTGGCAGCGTACCACTATCCGGTACGCAGGCACGCCAAGCCCCCTCCATCATTTGGTAACCTCTGCTTTGGACAATGCATACCTGGACGCCGTCCGCCGGCAGCGCTGCTTTGTTGGCGTGACCGTAACCCATTACGCAAGTTTGAGCTGTACCCGGGAAAACAACTCGAACGCCTGCTGGCGCATTGCCAACAAAGAGGGACGCATATACCCGCGGGGAGCAAACAAAGGGGGCCGCATATGCTCGCAGCGAACAAACAAAGAGGGACGCATATGCCCGCAGCGAACGGACAGCGTTGACGTCAGCTGCATCAGGTTTGCCCACCCGCAGGTATGGCCAATTTGGTTATGGAGAAGCATTCGACGCGTTGCTCGTTTGGGACAATTGTGCGTAATAAGTGATCGCCATTACCCGCATTGCGGTTGTCATTGGAAAACAGTCGTTTGATTGAAGTTTTCGGAGCTTGTTTCAAAGCCTGTTGAGCGTTTTGAAAACGGCAGATGGATATATGTGTACATTTCCTCTACAGCTGCAACACGATTCAGGTAGTCGCCGGCAACCTTAGCGGGCCCGAGGTTCTCAAAGCTCTTGATTTGATAACAACATATTAATCGTATTTATATGATATTTCTGATTTAATTCGCACAGTGCGCTCGCGTGAAAGCAGCTAATATTCCTAACGCGCTCGTTCTGCGTGTTCGGCACACAAGAGTCTTACTCTCTGGAACAAAGCCAACAAAATATGAAACTTTTACACTCCATCGCGTGAATACAGCGATTCGCGGCAGCTGGCGGTGCTGCACTGATGCACCTGTTCCAGCCGCCGGCATGAGAACCGACACGCCGGCTCTTTGTTGGTGAAGCGGTCGGTAACCCCCGTGCCGTGACTGTCTGCACGGGTGGCGCTTCCGCCCGTCCGTCTGCACGAGGCCGGTGGGCCATGTTCCGCTCGGCCGGCAAGCCTGGCGGGGGACGCGCCCCACCCCGCCCTCGCCCGGTATTGGTTATCGATAGAGCGCCTGGCGTACACTGGTACTGACAGCGGTCGCCCGGTCATTAGCCAGTTTTCAGTGGGCATTTACCCCAAACAAAAGCAGGGTCAGTGCTTTACTGGGCTTGACCATGTCCAGCGATTAATGAAATTCCCGATTTTTGGAGTGAAATTAGTCTGTCGAATTTGTCCGGGGCACCGAAATAACGAACCCCGGTCCCACACATTTCACAAGACATTGCTGCAGTGACACAGCAGCGGGAATTTGGTCTCCTCGTGCATGGTTTTGTGGTGGATAAAGGTCGTGACAGGTCTGCGGGGCCGAAACCCCGTCTAACCGTCCGTAACGTAGGTGACCTGTCGGGTGTGCTCCATTACGACGTTACGACGAGCTGGGGACGCCAGCGTTCCCCCGGCCGCGGGACGTCAATGCCTCCCACAACCCCTACCGCAGTTTGAGCGATAGTGACAGAAAGTGCCTTTCGTGGCAGCCTCCAACATTTCTCGACACCAATTGCAATCGGTCGCTGTTCCCCAGGTCCACTCAAGATAAATCCGGCACTGAGAAGCACCACGCGCGTGCTGCGACGTTGTCATGGCGACGACGTCTCGGAGGGCCAGCGGCATTCCTCAGCCGATCACCCCAGCCGGCTCCCGAACTCCCAGCCGACTCGGCGCCATGCAGGTCAGTGACGCACATTGCAGCAGCCCAACGCCATGCAGGTAAGTGACGTCTACTGGCGACCTTCCCTGCGTCCCGGACTCACCAAGCAGACCGAGCGCCATACAGGTCAGTGACGCCTACTGGCGACCTTCCTTAAGCCCCAGACTCACCAAGCAGACCGAACGTCATTCAGGTTGGTCACTTTCGCTGGGTCCCGGGTTTGCTCAGCGGACTGGATGCTGGGTAGAATAGTGACGCCACCCGAGACCACTTCTGCAGAAGAGATCACTTTCAGGACTCATTGGTGCTGAACTACCGCACATGCCAGCGGCGTCACCTGGTGCATTGCATGCTGGGTGTGGGAATCCTTAAGCAGGCTGGGCGCCACGTGCAGTTGGTGATGCCTGGCGAGCTGAACTGAATCCCAGACTCACCCGGCTAGTTGGACGCCGTGCAGATCGTTGACGCCTCCTGGTGTCATTTGCTGACATTCACCGCAGACTGGTCGCTTAACAGGCTGGTGACGTTCACTGCGTGAATATGTGGTGGTGGGGGAGGGGGGGGGGGGGGAGCTCAACTGCCCGCGGGACGCGGTGCAGGCGCTTGATATTAGCGGACGCGAGATGCTGTTGAACTGCACCAGTCGGCTAGAGCAGGGGAACAGCCAAGACAGACCGAGTGGTTCGTTTTTCATCATGGACGGCTCTCAACAGAAAGTTAAAAATTGACGTGAGGTATGCTCTCTTAGATCCATCCTCCCCCTCCCCCTAAGAAAATCCTGGCTACACCCTTGAGCAGGAGCGTTGCAACGGCTGCACTGGCACAACGGCAACGGCAACCAGCATGCTGACGGCTGTGGCAGCTTTTTATCTACAAACATTTTTTTTGTGGCTGGCTTTCGTGGCCAGCACATTCTTATTTTTATATTTGTTTATATTTTATGTATTTTAAAAACATATTTTAAGGGGCTGTCATCTGATACCTGATGCCCTGAGATAAAGATAGAAGATCCTCTTCTCTACCAGCTTGATCTAGCATGGGACATCGTATTTCAAACTTGTCTTGTGCCAGGCTATAGTTTTACTTCGCAGCCAAAGGCGTAACAACTTTCCATCTTAAAGAGTGCTTGAGCGTAAATGTTGCATGAAAGCTTTCTTAGAACTAAGAGTGAGGCAGCAGGCCAAGAGAGTCTTATAAGCCGCCTTTACGCTTTACATGAATCCGCCGCCTGACCGTCAGCTGCGGCGTTCGTTTCATATATAATTATCCGTGAAAAACACGGTCGGTTATTTTTTTATTTTTTTAATAAGCTTGTATTGGTGATCGAATAAAACACATCTGATCTAACAAGAGGAAAGTGCAAAAAGGTGGCATGCTCACTTTACGTGAGGTTTAGGGAAATACAAAATAACGCAACTTAAGTTTGATTGTGATGTATGCATCGTGTATCTTAAACAGAATGAGGCGGCTCAACATCCATCCATTCTTTACTTCCATAAAGTGCTGTGCTTGGAACACACGCACGTCTACAGTCGTTTCAAAACTTCGAGAGCCACTCAGAACTAATGAAATACTATACCAAAGGAACCTTTTGGTGTCGGTTGCCGAAGGCTTCTTGCTTCACTGGCTTTGCTTTTGCCGTCAACAACATAACCCGAAAATTTTCGCATCCCGTATCGCCTCTATGTCACACGCCGTGCAAGGTATATGTTGATAAATGCTAGCATAGAATCGCTAAGAACAAACACAGATAGCTAGTTATGGATTACTAGCCAAGAAGTGTCTATTAAAAACGCATGAACACAAAAAGTCAGCATCCGTGGCCCGCTTGCATTGGTCCCTATACTGACCGTACATCGCAGGCAAATACGATAAGTAGACGGCTCTAGCATCGACCCAAATCTGGACCACCATTGCTAGCGGGTCTGTTAGGCTACAGGCGCTCCGGGCAGACACTGATCCGCCAGTGTGCTTGATCGGTCCTACGCGTAATTTCCTCAGTTGGGGGGCCCGCTGCCCGGTTATCACGCAATGGACGATGGCGTGCATTGGCGCACGCGTACCCACGCGCCGGTCATGCGCGTAATGGCTTGGTGGCGGCGAAAGCGTCACGCACTTCTTGACATTATTTCCAGGCCGACCGTGTGCAGCTGCCATTTGGCACGTAAGGAACAGGTTGCCGAGGTATTGTTTATATATTATCCGTCTGCTTATCTTGAAACATGACCTGCTGATCAGGACGCTGGCCCGAGATATAGACCTTATGGCTACGAACCGAAATACCTGATCTTATAAAAATTGGGAGAGAGAGGGGAGAGAGAGAGAGAGAGAGAGAGAGAGAGAGAGAGCAAGAGAGAGAGAGGGAGGGAGAGAGAGGGAGAGAGAGAGAGAGAAAGAGAGAGAGAGAGAGAGAGAGGGAGAGAGAGGGAGGGAGAAAGAGCAACAGAGACTTCCTACTACCAAGTAGATGCTACCTGCAAAGGTGGTTAAGTCGAAAGTACATCGGAAGTAGGCAATAACTATGCAAGTTTTTTCTCATCTCAGAACAACTACACCTAATATTGTGTGAAATATTCTGGGCTATAAATACCGTTTGACAGAGCAAGAGCACACGCCATGTCATTTGTAAACGTCACTGTGTGGGCGTTGGATTCAAGAACTGTTCGTGTCCAAGTTATTCGATTCGTGTGACCCAAGCTAAGATACGGTTCATGTAACGCAAACTAGTATCGAAGTCAGAATGACCCGTTTCTGATATGCATGCATGCGGGGCGAAATTCACAAGGAAATTGGTTTACGTTCGTGTTCTTGAGCTTGGCTGTTGTGTATTTACATACACGAACAAGTTAATGCTGTCGACGCACTAAAGTTTTAACGATGCCTTCATCCTTGCTACACCACGGAAGTTTAAACGCTCTAAAAAGCTGTGGCTCTGCCTGGATCATTTTGGCTCAATCGGAGGTGCTTTGGTCCACTATGTTCGCCCGAGTAGTCGCCTTCAGCGGCCTGAGGGAGGGGAGGGGGGGGGGGCACCACCAATGAAAACTCTATCATTGATCGGCCTAGCGCTGGCAGCCCCAGTGCGCACACACAAACACCGTACTCGAGCGGTAACGCGGCCAGGCTAGGGCCGCGGGCCTCCTTAACCTGGGTCGGGCTGTGTCTAACACGCTCATTGACTTACGGGTGTAAATGTTGCAATTTCGATCAGATGCATGCTGCAACCTTGCACTTGAAGTCCCAATGTTATAACTGTTGGTATGCCTTTAAGTGAAGACTCCTCTGACTAGCACAGTTTGTTTGTAAAGCTAGTATGCTCCTCAATGCGTCATTATTTCACTGTGTCGTCGTACCTTGCACAATACTGAGCCAACTGACGGCCGTTGTATCTGGAACTTATGCTCACGAACGCCAAATATGAACAGCTTGAAGATGACATTTTTCTTGGCATTTATCTTCGCGCGGTCAACGAAATGACAGAATTTTAATGACGTTATCATGGCGTCATTAGTCCCTGGTTGACCTTGAAACAGACTACGAAATAGTGTGCAAATATTTGCCGGCGTTTAGGTCAGTGAATGGAGGGCTTTGGGTCTTAAGAAAGGAATGACTGCGAACTGCAATGTATAATGTTCAAGATGGCTATTTCAGGTCAAACCCCATACAAATGTGGAAGACTCCCTCTCACGCGTTAAATGCAAGGCTCCATCAGGAACGCCGTTTTGTGACGCATAATACAGGCGTTTGCGTGGTTCGACTTGTGACGGACATCACGCTGGTATCAAACAACTTGAGAATAACGGCGTAAACGAGAATATGATTGTACGCAAAACACATGCCGTCACGACCAAATATACAAGAACACAACAAGAAATGGTCAAAACACGCACAAATAACGTTGGTCAACTTGTTCACACGCACAAATGAACAAGTCACCCTGCGGCAAGTATAAGTACCACAGCGGGCCAGGTCGCTCGCTACATTGGCAGTATTGACGCAGCCAGCCTGGCAGCCACTCTGATGTGAACGCTTCAGAGCTTTGTTAAATGATAACGCACAGAGCAGAACATTTACTAAATAGTAAAGTTGTGTTATTTGGAGCGATCTTTTGCACCCAAAAGCATAAAAATAGTTACAAGTGAGCTTTTCCATCATATCTGATGCTTGCATCAATATCTTCAAATGCGAAACATTCCCTGTAAAAAATTAAGTCTCTGTATCCTTTTGGATTCCCTGTGGCATAGACGCTCGCGTTTCGGAACGCACCGGCCTGCTTCTGGGCAAAGCATGAGCTACGGCTATTGCTGATATTTTGGTAATGTCAATGAAAGCGCAAAACAAAAAAAATCCAGCGTCATGGTTAAACGCTTTGAAAACATCATCCGTAGCCTCATCAATGGACTTTTGGAAGTCCATTTATAAGGTTGCGGATGACATTTCCAAAGCGTTCAACCAGGCACTGGAATCAAAACACGTTTAGGCAGATCGAACTCGGGGCTAATTACGCCCAATTTATCTGCGATAGGCGCCATTCCTTGGCAAAAGGGCGGGGGACAGCTCGCTCGAGACCGGTGGCAGCGGTGTTCCAGCACCAGCAGCTGGCAGCGTACGGGGTGTTGCGGCGGGACGTGGCAACGGTCACCAGGTGGCTGCCTGGCTCGGTCGCACAAGCAAAGGTCAGCGCAGCACCCAGCTCATGTCTCCGGGGTCCGTGCGATGTTTTGCAAAACGCCGGTAGCGCTACAACAACAGTCATTCGAAGCGAGCGTCATACCTTCCCCGCACAACACCAGGGCGCCTGTGCGAACTCCGAATGCCCCTTCGCATCCCTGAACGCCCTCTCCCGCTGCACCCCTGTCGGAGGGGGCCCAGTGCGCCCCTGACCCGCTTCGGGCGTCGGTGGCGCCCGGGTCGACGCATCGATTCCGACGCGGGTTGGCCGTCGCCGCGCCGACGGCGACGCGGGCCGGCCGGCAGTCACCGGCGGGCGCGGACGGCCGCGGCCGTGGGAACGACGGTCG